CATAATCCGTATGAATAGCAAATATCTGATCATGATAGGGAGGTATATTATGGGATGAATATATGTATATTTCGGGAATATTCCAGGCTGTTTTTTGTCTCTTCAAAATGACTGAATGGACATTCAATTTTCATATATTTTTTCGGATATAGTTAAAATGTATGTACTTGGTTGGTATGGTATGTGAGATAAATAAACTCCAACCCAAGCTCTGACGCCGATATAAATGGCGGCTAACGTTGCGGCTCCAATTTTTCACTTTCCCCACTCCACCACACTCACACCACCACGTCTATTTGCTCCAACAAAACACCCCATGTTAACACCCGATAACCTTCTGATATAACTTCCGTATTACTTACCACTTGGGTACACATCTATCTTCTTCTATATGTACGAATCATAAACCAATTAACAGACCTTGCAGACTTTCCTCCACGTCGAGCAAGAGCAAAAAAAAAAAAAAAAAAAAAAAAACCCCTTCGAAAGTCCGCGTATCATCCCTCTCGATAGACCCTTGGACCTTGAACAGAGGTTTACATACCTGGCCAATACTTCAATACTTTGAGCATATATGTATAACGAAATCATACCTCGACACCGCCCTGCATAATTGAAAGCAGATAGCGGGCGGCTAAACCCAGGCGCATCCTGTTGGAGATCAACCACCTTGACCGAAGTACGCTCAGCGGTTTGAGCTCTGAGGTGAAATCGGTGCCAGTATTGATCCTGAGCGAGTGGAAGAGGGAAGCGAAAACCACAAAAATGCCGTACCTATCCACTTCACAGGAATATCTAGAGCAGTCAGCGCTCCTGCTCCAGGCTTATCCAGACACGGTATGTCGAGTGAGAGCCCTGATCAATAGTTATTTATGCATCCAAGCGCAAATATACAAATATATCACTAACACCGCCCTCCTTCTCTTTAATCCCTTCAGACCCGAATAACAACAAAATACTCATACCCTCGCCCCAAAAAATCATCATCCCAACCCACCTCCACGAAACCAAAACCCGCCCCTACAGGTACCTCGACACCATCCACACAGACTCAATCACAATCACAGACACAAACACAAACACCAACCCCCGCAACCATAACCCTCAAAACCTTCCATCCAACCAGCGGCATCTGCCTCAAATACCGCACGAACAAAGCCGCGGAAGTCGGCCGGCTGATTGCTGGCCTGGGCAAATTGGCGAGCGGCGCGCCGGTTGTTGAGCCAATAGCAGCAGATACCGGTATGGCTGGGGATACGGAGATGACAGATGCTGCGACTGCGCCTGCGTCTGCGACTGCGACTACATCGGGACCCGGTGCTGGTGCTGGTGGAAAGGGTTCTAGCAGTGGTGGTGGGGGGAAATCGAAGAAGAAAGGGAAGGGGAAGAAGTAGGCTATTTTGATATTATTTATTTATTGCCCCTCCCCCTTTCATTTTCAGGTACATAATTATGGGATTTTCTATTGAGAGAGATCATGAGACTCGAAACATGGGACCGGATACAATAGATGGCTACTTCAAGAGTATTTTTCTCCCTCGTTTATTGTTTATAGAAAATATCTGACATAAATTATCCGCGCTGTGGTTGGTTAAATTGATTCATACATACATGACAGAGTCAAGAGCCATGATTCCGGTGGCCTCATCCTTGTGTTCCACCCCAAGCCATATTTGCACCTGTATAACTCGGATGGGCGGAAGGCTTTTTCATCAGTGACGTTATATATTTGGCTGCTAAAAACTAGATTATGCAAAAGAGCAGACAGAAATTTCTCATCTCCGCCTGCCCTTTGCTTTTCTTGTTTCTGGGACACATTTTGAAATTGAGGATAAACATAATGCAAGATACAACATAAGACGGGCAAGGACAGGAGTAAAAATATAAATAAATAGTAGGAGACGCCGTAACCCAATACGTAAGAATTTGTCATGAGACCCAGCCGGTAAAACGATGAGGACGAAGGAAAAAGGAACATCAAATGCAGTCATGGAGCCAATATTACGAGGTGAGAGGGGAAAAAAAGATAACAGAAAAACACATAAGCGAGTACAATGCACCAAAAAGAGCCACACATAGAAGTACAGGTTATCCGAGGCAGAAACCACTAGAGGGTATCTGAAGTGTAGAAATATACACTGTGACTGGGGGTATGAAGTCCGAAACAAGAAAGTAGAATGGGGGGTATATGCGTCACAGACGTCAAATACAAGATGGAGAGGAGTCTATCCATCCCAAGAAAGCAATGACACGAAACAGTTTAGAAGTCTTCGTCGAAGGTGAATGCACCTCCATTCTCGATCTGCTTCTCCGTTTCTTCAGTAGCAGCTTCTTTCTTGGTGCTTGCCATGACACCGGCTTTTTGGTAGTCGCCAACACGCTTTTCAAAGAAGTTGGTCTTGCCAGCTAGCGAGATGTTGTCCATGAAGTCAAATGGGTTGGTGGAGTTGTAGACTTTCTTGTTGCCCAATGCAACGAGGAGGCGGTCAGCGACAAACTCGATGTATTGGCACATGAGCTTGGCGTTCATTCCGAGAAGCGCGACTGGGAGCGCATCTGAGAGGAATTCCTGCTCTATCGTGACGGCCTCCGTGATGATCCTCTCAACCGCCTCTGGGCTGGGGCGGTGGCGGAGGTGGGAGAAGAGAAGACAGGCGAAATCAGTGTGTAAGCCCTCGTCACGAGAGATAAGCTCGTTAGAAAAGGTAAGGCCAGGCATGAGACCCCGTTTCTTGAGCCAGAAGATAGAAGCAAAGGATCCACTAAAGAAGATGCCTTCGACAGCTGCGAAGGCGACGAGGCGCTGCGCGAAGCTAGATTCTTTATCTTCGATCCACCGGATGGCCCAATCAGCCTTCTTGCGGATGCATGGAACTAGAGAACGCGTTAGGTGGAAATTTCTCTAAAATTAGAGTGGGGAAGAATCCATACTGGTGTCAATGGCATCGAACAGATAAGTTCGCTGCTTTGGCTCTTTGATATACGTGTCGATTAGGAGAGAGTAAGTCTCGGAATGAATATTCTCCATCATGATCTGGAAGCCGTAGAAGCAGCGAGCCTCAGGAACCTGAACTTCACTGCTGAAACGCTCGACCAGGTTCTCGTTGACAATGCCATCCGAGGCAGCGAAGAATGCCAAGACATGGGAGATAAAGTATCGCTCATCATCGTTCAATCTGTTGTTCCAATCGTGAAGATCTTTTGATAGATCAATTTCTTCTGCAGTCCAGAATGACGCCTCCGCTTTCTTATACATTTGCCAGATCTATATTGAATCGCGTTAGTTTAGCTTTTAGGACGTGTTGAGAAGGAAAAACACCACTTTACGCGTGACGCGTCGAAGGGAGTGGGAACATACCTCGTGATATTTAAGTGGAAACAAAACAAATCTGTTTGGGTTCTCCTGGAGCAATGGCTCCTCTGCCTCGAGCGCTTTCATTCCAGTCAGAGCTTTCTTCTCTGTCTCCTCTGGTCTCAGAGGCGTAGTCTCTTTCTTCTCAAGCAGCTTGGGGTCAAGGACGAGAGCGACGGGCGTCGTAGCATTTTCCTTGCCGGTAGGCTCGAAGTTGAGCTTCTTAGCAGGAGAGTCATTCATTTTCAGGTTTTCCAGCGAGGATGCAGTCTACATGAAGCTGTTAGCTGCACACGGTCATCTATTATCATGGACGCGTCGGGTACGAGGGGAGTAGCGCGTGGAGGCTCAGAAGCATACCTGTTTCGACGGGCTGACTTGAGAAGCCATTGTAGCGAGTATTAAGACACAGTGAAACAATTGAGACAATAGAGACGAGAAGTTGCGTGGTGTGAGAACAGCAAACCTGGTGTTGAGGGTGAGATGGGAGATTGAAGATACAAACGATGGCGAGGGCGAAGAAATAAATAGGCAGGCAGGCAACACGCTAAGTCACGGGACTACGCGAATCAGCGCGACTTCGGCAGCAAACAAATCACGTAAACGCGAGGTGGGTTTGCATTGTTTGTTTTGTCCTGTCACGTCATTGCTTGGCACCTTTCGACCAAATCAGAAATTCTGCGCTTCAAATTGGTAAACGATTTACACAACACTTGCATAGGCACTCAAGGAGTCTCTATACTCTGGGGCCACTATTCCCTGAGGCCTCTGTACCCAGAGAGTCTCTATACCTGGTGATTTCTTACCTGGAGGTCTCTATATCTGGGGGAGCTCTATCTCAGACGCCTCCATATCTGGGGATCTCTATACCTGGGGGGCTCTATCACACCTTGGGGGCTCTATACACCTGAGAGCGTTCTATAACTGGGATCATGAAAATGTTGTGAGATCTGTCAAGGAATACTCCTAACAATGTCTATATCTATATACATGATAACGAATGGGGTATGTACATGTACATGTACACACGCAACATGCGATGGTCCAACGAAATTTGAAATAAGCCAAGAAAAGCATCAGAAAATGACATGAAACTGGGTCAAGCTCCTCGTGTTAATATGCGGCATCATTCTTGGCGAAGACACGGACATATTTAACAAGCCAGAACGCGCCCTTGAACTCGGTCGGATTATTCTGCACAAATTCCCGGCATGTCGGAGCTCTCGCTGCACAGCTGCTGCTAGACCAGACATTACCAGCCCAATCGCCACAGAACGTGATGTCGAAAACCTACGGGATGATACGTTAGCTACCACATCTGGAAGTTTGTGTGTCAAGAACAAAGCAATCAAGCAATGACATACGATCCTCTGCAGCTTAATGTGAGCGGCAATGTCACATTGACCCTGGAACTGGGCCATCGGCCTAGGCCACGACGCTGGATCTGGGGTTCTAGCAATGATATCCTTAGGGATATCATTACGTGGGAAGAACCACACGGTGACTGCAGATGGTGTTATTTCTGTGGCGTACACTCCGCCTCCATTTGCGTTGAATCCAGCACCGTACGATGCCGTGTCCGAGGAGCTGATGCCACAACCGGCGTTGGGGGGTTGTCCCGCAGCATTGACATCGCAGTTCGATGTCAGGATGGTGCCCGTGAAACTTCCCGAGTTAGTAATACTGCAACCGTAGTTGGTGTGCATGGACATTAAGTTAGTAGCTTGCGTGTTGACTCCTTCCACAATATCAATTTCGCCATTATTAGGCCAGTTTGGCCCAACGGTCCAGCTGATGGGAGGTTATAACTTTGTCAGTCTGGTTCTTCATTGATACGAGAACTCACCTCGGAGGATAATCTATGTTTTTACTTACAATGCAGGCCAGGTCCCGCAAATCCCACCGGGCATGTGCTCAATGTCCGTGATTATCAGGCCTTTATCATATTCCTTCTTGCTGCTAACTCGAACACTAGATCGCCCTCTTCCGGAGGCGACGTTTGTGCTATCGACTCCCATATATATAACGTCGTCTGTAGAAGAGACTAGCCCCTGATATCTCGCGGTGGTTCGATCGAGATAATTGACATATCCATGAGTAGGATCGTCACCCTAGAATATACAAACTAGTGAGCAGATATTCCGGCTGGGTTACACTCAGCTAAATGACGATCGATGCCAGGACTCACCGAGAAGAAATCAAATGCCTGGAAAAAGGTCCTCGCTGTATAGTCGTCTATCAGAGTATATGCCGCTTGGGAAAAGACGACAAAACTATTCACACAAATACGGATAGATACGGATAAATGCATCGTGCCAATACGGTATCAATGAAGTCTATCAAAATCCAAAGGAAGCAAAAAAAGAATAAAAGCCTGGGAATAAGATATAAGGAGAGTGCCGGCAAATTTGGGAGATTAAATATCCTCACCGGGCACGCCGTTCTTTATCGCTCACAAGAACGGTCTTCCCGGGGCGGAGAGATAATTCCATGAGGAGGAGAAGGCGTGAGGGAACGGACAAACCAAATCGTCTTCCCTTGCAAAATTCATTTGCATCCGCAGCACATGGAGAAGTCATTTCAGCATGCCTACTCTTCGTCCGGGGTGGGCCGGGAATGAACGCAACAGTGGAGGAGGATTGAAACCCAACAGATTTAGCCAACAGCGATATATATACTTATAGCTAAAAGACAAATAGCTGAATTCCATTCGATCAACCATATCTAAAGCATCATCTCTGACATCTCTCCGGAGTCCTAGGGCCAACCCCTCTGAAGTTCCTCCAACCTATCTACTACCTTAGTAGCATGGTCGAATACCATGGGACTAGGACCAAAATATTTAGTAGGCCCATTACCAGATTGATTGGTCCCAGTGCACAATACTGGGACTACTCATACAGTCCTAGTGGGACTACCACGAGTAGGACTACCAGTGGGACGACTTACCAGTGGGACTACTACTATTAGTTACTACTGTCTAGTCCTCGTCACATTTTTTTAAATGGGATCATGAATTTCATGTTTTAACTTCTACACTGTAATATTAAAATCCGTTTTACAGAGGATCCTCTCAAAAGTTTGATTAGCACTACGAATTTAAGGTGTAACTAACTTTGTTACAGGCATAAAGTATTCTCATTCCCTCTCTTAACCAGAGTTCTAAGAGAGGTTAAAGTCTGTGGCACCTGAATAACCAGCTACAGCTTAACTAAAGCTAGCCTAAATCCCAGGGACTTGAGAAATGGAATGATAACAGTATTACAGCTTAAATTCTTAGCACTAATCAAAACTTTTGAGAGGATCCTCCATAAATGAGGTTAAATATCATTGCCAAGGAATGCTAAGAAATGCGATAGATTAAATTTGCGGGCCGACCGGTTCCACCCACAGCCAGGTGAATTCGGCGATTCGCAAGCATCATAAAAAGGCCACGTAGTAGCTCTTGAATGCATACTCCAACCTTCCATCAAAAGAAAAGAAAGAAATAATAGTAACCAACTGAGACCGTGCCAATCGCATTGCTCGGAGACCGGGGTCGGGATATTTTTATAGAGTCGAACTTGGGGCCGGTTGACTAATTTACTTGGCACGCGCATACGCAGCGTAGTTACTTGTTCTATCAATATCGTTTTTACTCCGTAGTTTGGACATGCATCGGCAGAAATTTGAGAGTAGTATACAAACATGAAAATAGCTTCGGAAGCTGGAGCGTGGATGGCAGGGGGAAATACAATCATGAATGGGCAGCTAACTCTTCTCGATCACCGAAACCTGAGTGAAATATCTAATGCAGTCCTGGCAGGCTGAGTCTTCTGAAGAATTGATGGCAGGAGATGAAATGCGCTTGAGCCACGGTGCAGCATTTTATTCTCCGGTCGTGGCTTGCTACCGGCGAATATCAGGGATCGATAAATAATAGTTAGGTTAGTGTCTGGAACCTACCAACGATGTTAGTAGCTGGCGCAGTTTGTCCGTATCCCGGCGAAGCAAGGTAAGGTACCTCAATGTCACACAACTGCGCCGCCGTCCCGCGCCGAAAGGAGACAATGTGCTCTCTTCCATTACTTAAGGCTGCTTGGTCGGGGAAGTCTTTTTCCTATCAATATTTCGAGAGGCGCCTCAACAGCACTGATATCCGAAGAACTTCTCTGGCCGCAGTTCGCCATTAACGCTTCTTGAGGAGCCTTCCACCTTTTCCCTCGTGTAGGTAGTAAAGCTGGGATAGGATCTCATCGACGCAACGCCGCCAGACGACCATGTAACCAAACACCATTCAAGCTTCATGAAATTTTCCATGCTCCCTACAAAGGACTACATCTCGCCCACAAGACGCCTTTTCAGCGCATCATCATATTTTCCACTCTGCATGATCTCTAAAAGCCGACCCTGGACCTCCTGGACCTTCGAGGGAGGAATCAACCAGACATTATCAATGTCCTCGCACCCGATCTCGATTGATTTCCCCACCGTTGGCCACATGCCATATGGAAACCCGGGGTTGATCAGCTCGATCTCGAGATCAAGGAAGTAGTCCTCATCATCTTCCAGCCAGCGTATCTCGTCGAGGGGGTGAAGAGGAGGGTCCGAAATTATACCGCTCCAGCTTTGCTCAAACCCGTCCGTGATGGCGATAAATTCTTTATAATCTGCTGGCAGCTTAATGCCCAGCTCTCTTTCAGTTGCTGCAATTTCCTCCAGGCTTGCGGGGTCGTGGAATAAGGACCCAGGAGGGCCATCCATGTAATCCCGGAGGCTGTCAGGATTCGTCCGGGTATTGTTGTCTAGGATTTTCAGCATCTCTCGCATGGTGAGGGGGTCAAGCTCCATCCTCCCTTCCCGAATTCGCTCGACAATAGTCTCCTCGAGTTCATTTGCGTAGCCCCGTACTTTGTCATCGTTTTACACCGATAGCTCTGGCCAAGGTGCCATCTTTCAAAGCCTCCCAAGCTCTTCGCGATTGCGTAAGATAGGTCAATTGCTCATTCGCCTCCATTCGCTTTGCAAAGATGCCCACAAGCTCTTCTACCGAAATAAGACCCTCTTGCGCATACCTCCTTTCTTTGAGCAACCATCTCAGGTCCAATGCGCTGACAAGTGTAGCTGACGCAGTCATGGCAGCAGCGCCGGTGCTTGCGTCCCGGGAGTTGGACTTGACTTTCTCAAAGGAGTCCAGGAGGGTTTCAATACCGGAAGAGATATATCCTCGCTTCCCAAGCATTCCACTTCTCCACGCCCAGATTGTGCCTTGAAAACAATCTTTCGAGCCTTGTAGAACCAAGTGCGGGCATATATATCTTCCAAAGCCCGTATCTCATTGTAGACATCCTCCATCGTTACATCCGCTTCTTTTGTCCCCTCCCTCACTCCCCCTCCACCTCCTCTCTGGCCCGCTTGAGGCGTATAGATTTTTTTCTCCTTACTTTTCGTAATTCTCTGTTTCACTTTTTCTTCTTCTCCGACGGGCCATTTGCCCAACTCTGTCCGCAGTAGCCATAGAGGTTGTACATGTACATTGGCCTTGCAATATCTCACGTGCGCATTGAGGCAGGAAATAAGATTTATGGCAACATCAATGTAACCAAGGGCAGCGAATTGTTGAATTCGCGACGAGACAAAAGCTTAGAAACTCACTGTCCCCAAACTGCAAAAGTTTGCGGCGGGAGATTTGAGTTTCGGCTCCGGAAGACATTGTCAGGGGTTGAGACTTGAGTGTGTTTATCAGGGTTATATCGTTGCTCTATGTATGTGCTTCGCTTGCGTTTCTTTGAAAGAACGAGGTTCTGCGGCCGTTGTAAAAGCTTTCGTGGCTGCAACTGTTGCCTGATCTCATCTGCCCCCTTCTCTGAGCGCTAAATTCTTCGATCCAATAATGACTTGGGAAATTGATGAGTATCCTATTTTGATGATTGAATATATCCGAAATGTATCGGGGCAACAGAATTTGCACATCAGCCCGTTTAACCAGGGCACGGTTATAAATTTTCACTGCATACCTGCCACGGAAGTGTAGTTACAAAACAAAGATACCCCCCCTGAGTGACAATGAAACGGGCCTCGAGTCTGCTGAAAAGGGAAAGGGAAAAAAAGGCGGCTGGGGAAATCAGAAAACAAACGAGGCCCAAAATCTAAAATTCTAAAGCTTGATATTAAACCACCTGAACAAAGCCGAAAACGATAATATGAGACTGAAACGAGGAAAATTCCAAAGCTCTCTAGCCGATGCTCGAAGTAGGGGGGAACGGTAAAGAGACGCTATCGAGTGATTGAAGTAAACGATATAACCAGGCAACATTTGCTGCAAATGGGTATCTGATCGTCTGGTATATTTTTTTGAAAACTATTGGAGAACTACATTTTTTCCCTGACTGATTCTGGTATGATGCGGTCTTCTACTCTCCGTAGAAGTTTGTTGGTTTGTTCGGCCAAACTCAGGGTCAAAACCTAAGTTTTTTTTAGTTGGTTATAGATGCCTGAGTGTGAATATCTGGGGAGGAAGTGATTGGATTAGAGACGCACCGTATGGGGTAGAATACGTGCCAAGTGAGCAAAGTATCCTTTATATATCGCAAGAACACCTTCTTTACTGATGGTCTTGTAGAGGCAGTCAAAAACACCCTTGTAGAGGTTTCCGGTTTGGTTATACATTCGCGACATGATGGTATCTAGAAATGCAATCAGCCAAGCCCGAATTTTGAGAAAACCCCATATTAATTGGGGTTGAATTGTCATACCAGGAGGGTGCATAACACAACAGACGACGAAGCCGCTACAGGCACTACTCGCCAGGTGCAATGCAGGGCCATCTTCCATTCCGAGGTGTTTTATCAACCGCCGTTTTGCGAAGAAATATGTAGGTAGTTGCACCGAGCTACCAAATCCGGTACGGACCATAGCGGCATAAACTCCACGATATAGGCCTCTCACGCCCTCACCTCTGTGAATTTGGCGTAGTCCATCCACGGAGTTTCTATACATATGCTGTGTACCTACAGGCAGGAATGGAGAAAACGATTGGAGTCGTGTTTTTACTAGGAAAAAGGGAGATCCGGCGGCAGCACCCAAGATGCCCGATGCAGCTCCCGAAAAGACATTTATGCCGAGGGATTGGTGGGCTGGGTCTTTGTAAATCGCTTTCGTGACGCCTACCCGAAGAGGTTCGTAAAACCCAAGACGACAGCCATTAAGGAGGACCTGATAGATATACTATATTTACCATGTATGTAAGTATATTACCAGAAGGTAAAGGGAGGAAAGCATTGTGACGGGGAGATGGGGCTCACTGCTGATCCGATCCCTCGGAAGAGGCCCCGAGCTCCTTCGTTTTGGAGAATGACTCTGACACCGTGAAAAACGCCCTTGTATTTGCGCACTGCTTCCTGCTTTGACTGAAGCTCTCCTTGCAACTGAAGACTTCAAGGGAGTGTCAGTACATGTAAACTCCCGCTGACAATAGAGCGCGACCGCCATCATACCGAATTTTAACGGTTTCGAAGCTGTGTGTAACCGTGACCGCACCGCACGCTGCCAGACCTCCCGCGATAAACGCCCTGTAACCCAGAGAGAGCACCAGTCAGAATCATTTCTTCGTTTCTCGCGGGAAAAAAAGTGTGTGCAAGGTTGTTCACCCGGTAGTAGTAGACATTTCGTGTGTAATGGTAGGATAGACGACGTGACCGCGACAAACGAATGCGGCCAAGGGGAAAAAAAATAAAAATAAAAAATGAAAAAAAAGTAAAAAAGTAAATTTATAAAGAGCGGAGAGAAGGAATCGCGAGACACCAACGGTCGGTCAATCCGCGAAACACAAGAAAGAAGAGAAGTAGAGGAATAGGAACGAGGCGAAGGAAATGGAGCCTCTGGAGAAGTCAGACGAGCATATTTGGCAACAGATCTGGCTCCTTTGTTCCTCGCATATACAATGTTGCACAGTGACTTTTGCAGCCGCAGCGTTAGATTATAGCTTTGATCGGCGCAACTCTACTATGCGTAAACTGTAACTTATACTTCCGATCTTCGGAATCAGCAGCGCCGCGGCTGATCGGATCAATGTATGTCCGGCGCAGATCGTCGAGCTTGAGCTATTTATCTTCTTTATGCAGGCGAGCTTTGAATAATGGAAACAGACAACCAAACCAACGTCAAATTCGAGAACTGATGGAAGGCGACTGGGGTTGGGCAGAAATACAGATATCTGATTGCTGTTCGCCCAACGATCTGTTTGGCATTCCTTGATTCGCAATTCCCACCTCAGTTGCCCGGGTTTTCTTTTCGTAATGGCTGAAGTCGCGGGGGCTCTCCCACCTCAACCCGCCGCAAAGGTAACGGATATAATCAAGAATTATAGAGCATCAAAGGTGAGTAAATGCAGCAGCACAATCAGCTATTATTAGTGTTGTGCATGAGAGCTAACCTTCTTGCCTTTCATTCAGTCTTTTCGAGGAACTCCCAAACCGGATGGGCTCCCTAGCAATGTTACCTCTTTGGATTTCGACGACCAAGGCGATTACCTGGTAGCGTCCGGAGACGATGAAACACTACAAGTATTTGATATTAAGGAAGGGAAACTGACCAAGACTGTCCCAAGTAAAAAATATGGAGTGCATCTGGCAAAGTTCACCCACCACTCGCGCCAGATACTTCACGCCAGCACGAAGGTGGACGGTGAGCTCTCCCCTTGGTCCAAGATTGCTAGCTTAGCAATTCCGTTTCTAACATGGGAGGCTACAGACTCGTTACGGCTTTTAGACTTGCACAATGAAAGTTATCTTCGATACTTCGCCGGTCATACGGACAGGGTTACCTCACTTGCAGTTTCTCCAGGGACAGATGCGGTTTTGTCTTGTTCCAAGGACGATACCGTTGCGTTGTGGGATCTCAATTCGAGGAACGCCCAAGGGAAACTTAAACTAGCTACCCCTTATCTAGTTGCATTTGACCCGTCGGGTTCGGTCATAGCAATTGCCTCTCAGTCTACATCGTCAGTACTACTCTACGACTTTAGAAACTATGACAAGCCTCCTTTTGCGACATTTGACCTTGCCCCACAAGAAGACCGATTCACCCCTTCGACAAGGGGCAGGGCATGGACCCGCTTGGAGTTTTCTAATGATGGCAAGCATCTTCTTGTCGGAACAGACTACCACGGTCATTTCCTATTGGACGCCTTCGAGGGTAATATTAAGGCGTTTTTAATCGGTAAAAGTGGACCCACTGGACGTGCTGCCCCTGTCTCGAGTTCTGGAAAACCATTAGGCCAGGGGGACGTTTGTTTTACTCCAGATGGACGTTACGTGCTTGGCGGTGCTGGCGATCAATCTGATACTCTCGTCTGGGATACCCAACAATCTCCGGACGCCAGTTTATTCCTTAAGCCCGCGTTCCGCCTGCCATACCGTGCCCGCTCCGTTATCGTGCAAGCCAATCCGCGGTATAACATGTTCGCAACAGCAGACAAAGAGATCACGTTCTGGCTCCCAGATGATAACGCTAAGCCGGCCGAAAAATAAAAGGGCTTTCTAACAAGTTCGTTTATTAAGGACTATCTGATTCGAAATGGTGTTTCCAAAACCCTCTCTTCAAGGCTAGTTGGTATATGGGTAATAGGGTAAATAGATTAATCCTCTTGCCGATGTCTATCGAAGATCCATAACACGGCGTTCGCCGCATCATGGGAGGCATGACTTTTCTATATATTTGGTATCTGTTTTCAGGCCTTCCTATTGCTGTCCTTGCCAATCAAACTTCTGGCTGTATCGCATATCCAAACTAGGGGGCCTGACAATTCGTCATCGCCATTTCTGTTTTCCTCGACAAGGACTTCGATCTGCTTAGCTACCGTCCGATTGCTCGAGATCGTCATGAGGCCAGTTGCCCAGCCATACAGGAACACGCTTGTGTTAATGTCGCTTAATTGGCTCGCAACTATGCGAGCGACAGGCGGCAAGACACCGTCTGCCCAGCCCCGTTCAATTTCTGCATGGGCATTTACTACTCTAATGGGAATGTTCCAATTTAAAGGAACTTTGTGGTCCGATAACTCCTGGAACTGGGATATCAAATCCTCTCTATCACAGTTTATATCCCCCGCCATCATTATTTTCGTCCTTTTCTTCTCAATTGCAGTACCGATTGTCTCAACTATTTCATACATTCTCTTGGCGGCTTCTTCAGTGCATACAAGCTGCCTGTCTCCCATTGCCGGCCAAAGTTCAGAGGTGACCAACGGCTGTTTTGCCTCGAGTTCAATCTGGCGGGTTATTGCGGGATGATGACCGGCTGATGGATCAATATTTTGGAAATGCGATAAATCGGACACTAGAGCAAGGAGTAAGGTACAGTCGACATTTAATGTAGAGGTCATATGTGGATGAGGATTCGGTAGTAGTGTCAGAAGAAGCTCTTCCACTGTCTTGGTTTGGTGGTGGCCGTTATCTTTTCCATTGGGGGCTGCCAGCAGCTTGGCCGCATCTTCTGTGTCCGTGCTACACTCTACTGTAACACCGGTTTTTCGAATATCTTTAATAATGGCATCAACCTCGGGGGTTTCCCCCTCCACAATTTTTGGGAGCACAAAACGGATCCGAGGATGCTTATATCTGACTCTGACTAGGGCAGCCGCCTTTTTCATGTCCGTAGCAAGCCTTACTAATTCGATGGTATCCTCGTCATCATCGTCGCTGTCATCATCATTCTGTAGCCTATAGACCTCGGCTCCTTGCGCCTCCCCATCTTCACTGGTCGAGTCACATCCCATTTCCCAGCCCCTTTTGGCCAACTCGAACAGTAGCCGACTAGTAGTGACAGTAGACACCTTGACCCACTCCTCCCCGTTGTCAGCTACTATATCCACCAGCACACTTCTCTTCTGCAACCCTACTTTGCTCAAATTTTCTTCGACCGCCTTGTGCGCATCTGCCGAAACATGTAATCCCTGTATTGAGCGCTCAAGATCTCGGGTTGAAGTCGGCGTAGCTATCCCGTCCATTCCATCTCTTCCAGATCCATGAGCATTGCGCTTAGCTTTGTACCAGTAAAAACGCTTGCTGAACGCAACCAGACCACAACAACTCGATTTTGACACGTTCCACACAGATGAATAGAACGGGAGGTTGGACGATCGTAGAGAGTGTAGGACCCGTATCTCCGCTTCATCCTGGCTAGCCTTCTCGCCATCGTTATCACCATCGCCATCGGCTAGAGGCCCATCTATCGGAGTATCCGTTTTCGCGGCTAGCTCTGACAATTTCTTCAAAGATTTCAACTCGGATTGCACGAAAGACTTGAACTGTCGCAATTCAACTGCATTGGGTTTACCAATGGCTGCAAGATGGGATTGAAGGAATGCGAGTTCGGACAGGAGCGCGTTGCAGTCCTCGAGCAAAGACGCCGCGAGACCTTTGCTGGTTTGTGGTGGGGTAATGACTGACCCCGCCATCATGATTTTCTCTGTCTCAACGAGGGAAGAATGGAAATTAATGAAGGGAAATACAGAGACGCAGGAAAGCAGAGAGTGAACGTGGACGATGAAGGTCAGAAATAGAAATATGTACATATATAAGTGTGCGATGGATGCTAATTGTTCGGGTAACTTTGAGGACGGGTTTCTATAACTACGCGGGGAACTAGGATTACATAAACTGGCATCCGCCTGACGTAATTTTTATCCCTCACTCGAATCTTGAAGCTGTTCAAGCCTGATATAGCTTACCATATTTGGTTGTAGATGATTATGAACATGTAGGAAAAGCAATATTCTTAGTATCTTAAGATATAGTCAGAAGTTGTGTACAGATGGATATATATAGTTAATTTTTCAAAAATGATCCATGCAATGACACGTCGGGGAGCTGGCTCCTATGCTGAAGTGAAATGTCAAATCTGAATGTCAAATCTGAATGCATTGGAATCTGCTAGAGTTGAGAAACCCTAAGTAATCATCAGACAGTAAAAGCAAACGAGTTTCATAAATCGAATTCATGTGTATCCGAGGCGGGAAGGTTGATGAATATAGCGGAACCAAAATAGAAAGCGCGCATAGCAAGGGCATGAGACAAATATGAAAAAAAAAAAAAAAAAAAAGGACGCAAAAAGAAAAAAGAAAAATACACAAATAGGAATCGTATATAGAAAAGAGTCAAGACAAAATAAGAAACGAAAAACGCCATTCTGTTAACCACATCAAGAATAATTTGGTAAGCATCAAAGAAAATCGAGCATTGAGCTAAATTATAGTAATAGAGGAATTGAAAACAATTGATTCTTCTGTATTACTCGTCGTCCTTCTTCATTAGGCCTTTCCTTTCGCTCGAATTGCGGGGGGATTCATAATCTGACCATCTATCGCCGTCTTCTCCAACAGCGAAGATTGTCTCACCATCGAGAGAGTGTCTGTTTTGGTTCGACGAAGATGCCACAGGTTTTGGTAGAACAGGGGAAAGTTCCCTTTCGGGGCCATCTGGTCCTCCCGTACCAACTCTCTCCTCTTCGTCGAGTGAGCTGCCAAAGGAGCGAATTTCGAACCCGTCATCTTCTTGTGCAATCTACAGACAAGTTAGATAATTGTAAAAATATTAGGAACGAATTTTGGAGCTTACCTCATCGCTCATTGCGAATCGCCTGTTATTCACCGTTGGTCTCCACAGGTATGCGATAAATGCAATATCGAACAGATAGACAATGTTAAGCCAACCATCCAGCACGAACCATCTTGACTTCCAGTGGTCGGGAACGAAGTCCGCGACCCTGCGGCTCGCAAACACAAAGGAATTGATGAAAAAGAAGCCAAAAATGACAACAATACTTCCAAGGATGCACCACCACAACTTCTTATACATGAGAGCTTTGACGTTTTGCTTTCGGTCAATCAAATCTTTCATCGTTGCGCTCAATGAATTCAGCGTCCAGACATAGAATGCTGTCAGAGTCCCTGCAAGGGGGAGAATCACAAGCAGAACTAACGGCCCAGCGCTATCAGGCGTGATGGATAGACTGGCCACAGCATAGATAACACCAAACACAAAGTGGCCAATCGCAAGGAATCGGACATAGACCATGGTGCGGCCAAGTGAGGGTTTCACAACGCCATAGCCCATGCAAACGATTAGAAGTAAGAAAAATGAGAATGAATTGCGACCGGCATTAAGAACGGCAACGATGATCATAAGTACTTTGGCCACAGCATTTGAACCGTGCCGATTTTGATAGTCTGGGAATTCGTTAGACATGACGACAATATGAGTATCAATGTGAGTAAGCACTAACCGTAGAAACCCCAGGTCATAAGTTGCTCGACAATGAGGAACACAATGATAGCAGTGATATAGTTTTGGACGGGTACTTCAGGCGCATTAGTAAGAGAATAAGACGCATCTATGGCCGGGGATGACGAATAGAAACAGTATACTGACAGATATCATGTCGGTTTTGTACATATAAAAATGCCCAAAAGCTAGTCTCGTTAGTTTGTCCAGCTCAGAGGGGACATCTCAGAAGTATGCTTACATCCCAATCACCGCGTAAACAATGGTAAGAGCGCCATAAAATGGGAGTTTCGGTATCTGGGGAGCTGGGAGCTCTCCGTACGAATTTTGAAATGTTACCACCCCCTGGTAATCATCACCGGAGAAGGCGTATGTGCTGACACAATAAAATCCCGTTTTCGCGACGGGGTAGTTTATAGGTTTAGGATCTTTTAGGTTGATGGCTGTTGAAATAATCGGAGACTTTGACACTTTCGCAGCATCCTCAGCTAAGATAAACGAACCCAGTTGTTTCTTCGTACATAGTTTGGCCGCGACGTTCTCTTGGTCGCATATGGGCTCTTTCTGTACCTGAGATAGGTTAGCACATGAAGATGAGGAATAAGAAACAGATAAGTATTTGGGACATGCCTTCTCCTTGTCGCCTACCGGATATCTCCCGATCAGATCTTCGTCTTTCCACTCAAATATCACCAGACTAACAAGATGATCGGCCTCCGGATTCTTTAATTCACCCTTCTCAAACGCTACTAGAATAAATGGATCCTGGTCCCCTCCCCAAGCTTTCCGGCTGTACATCCCGGAGCATTGTTGCCGATTCGCTTCATCTTGTTTCTAGGAACAAAGTAGTCAGCCATGTGTGCGCTTCGATGAGAGTTGATTCATGTGGTAACCTACCAATCGCACCTCATTCGCAAGAGTTCCAGTCGCAAGCAATCCTAAGTAGAGGCACGAGAGTAATGCCTTCATCGTGGTTCGGCCGGAGCTGGAACCTAAAAGAGCCGGTTCGGACCAGCTCTCAACGTCCAGCTAACAAAGCCAGTCGAGTATCGTGCGAAGTTCAACGAGTCCGTATTCCTCCGTCACAATAAATGGGTGATATACTGGGCTTCGTTATTGTCATTTGTTGATAAAGCTGCTTGAACTGTGAAACCCTTAAACTGGGAAAGCTGTCGACTTCTTTTGTCCGCGTCTGTTCTTATCCTTGCATAGCCGCATTAGCCGCGATTGCACTTTCGTGTGGTAGTTATCATTGGCTGGAACGTAATTTGCACGTGAGCTAGAGAGTTCCCCCAGGCCCAGGCGGCTAATGACGTCGAGGGAGAAAAAAAAATATGATAGAGTTTCGATATTTTTTTATAGTTACTATTTTTCAACTATTTTGTTCCTCACATATTAACGTTACATCACCATTTTCTTCGCCTAGACAGTCATTATGGCGGGAAAGGCTATGGGGCCTTGCCTTGATTGCAAGGTCGCTCCGGCCACCCAGACGGTTCGAAAGAGGGACCTTTGTCAGTAGGTGTAACTCCTATATCTATCTGTTTGACAGTACTGATGCGGCGTTTCGCAGACAGTGCTTTTTTCTGTTTATCGGATCCAAAGTCGTGAAGCGGATGGAGAAATATCGACCACGCAACGCTGAGAAGAATAACCAGAGAAAATTTCTCTTGCCCCTCTCTTACGGCGTCTCGTCTTCGACATTGCTCCATATTCTGAATCTTCAGCTAGAGCGGCAAATTTCGAGTGGCTTAGGCCGCCGTACTTATGAAATTCATGTCCTAAATGTCGGAATTTGTGGACAGCCCGACAACCACCGACTGGATTTATTCTGCGAGGCGTATCCTCTCCATACATACACCCAGGTTCCCTTACACTCGATATTTAAGTATGATACAGCCATAGAGGATATAATATCGGAATATGGAGGCCCTGAATTTAGGGATGACCAGTCAAAGATGGACCAAGAACGCTTAGACCATTTTCGGTTATCACTTTCGACTGCCGCCGCGCGAACAGACATTGATGGGATATTGTTGACGAGGCTAGTTGTTGCCATTGCCAAGGAGCTGGATTGTGACGCCATATTATGGGGGGATTCTGATACGCGTCTCGCTTCGAAGGCTCTCTCAAATGTAGCCAAGGGCCGTGGATTTTCTGCTCCTTGGGATGTATGTGATGGGATGACGCCGTGGGGGATCCAGTTCAATTTCCCAATGCGAGACGTCTTAAAATTCGAGTTATCTACCTACGCCTCACTGGCGCTCCCAAAATCACTGAACGTTGTCGACTCTGAGCGTCCGTCCGTGGACAATCTATCTAGTAAGAACTTATCGATCGAGGACCTCCTTGCGCACTATGTTGAGACGCAAGGGGAAAAGTATCCAGGCATCATGGCAAATATCGTTCGTACGATTGACAAACTTCAGGCGCCGGCCCCCGATACTGGGTATAAGTGCGTATTATGTGGCATGCCGGTCGATATGAGCGGCGAAGACCCCTCAGCTCTAGGTGGCTCAGGGGGTTCTCAGTATGTCTTAGAGGATAGGAGAGAGCGACCTATGACTGGCACGTTGTGTTATGGATGCGCAAGGACGCGTTTGGATCTTGTACCTCCGAAATCAACGCCAGCTTAGTTTACGGAGTGTATTGGTTGTTCTATCAATTTTCGGAAACATTTCGAACTCCGCACGCTGCCGTTGTTCCCTTCTCAGTTTAGCCACCTAAAGCAGCCTCGCCGGCGCGGCTAACGCTTCTAAAGCCGCCAGTGAAACTTGGAGCTGACTGCACTGCGTTGATTTCTAGCGTAATGTACCCATATACCCACCATTACTGTTTATTCACCGGGAGTGACGACTTCTTCCGATGCTCCTCTGAAAGTACGCATTCCATAATTTCGCAAGATCGACATGCTTCACAGGTGAAACCACCACTGTTTTTATTCTATAACAAACTTGGGATCGTAGTATCCGGTTGACAGAACGGACTTCTGATCTCGTTGCATGGCTAAATCCTGAATTTTTGCCATCTCAAAGGCTGCGAGTCAAGCTTTGATGATATTAGGCTAGCCCTGATATCTCAACAGGCAGCATCCTAATAGCTTTTGGATTCTTAAAATATTGCAGGAACACACAAGTTACGAGGAGTTGCATCATTGTTAAATATATATTATTATTACATAGCTTAGATATTGGAAAGAGATATACAAATTAGTCAACTCCGGCCCATATTATGCTCATGTAAATGCAAATGGGGTATATGGAAAGCGGACAAAAGAGAAAGAAAATAAAAAAAAAATGGGAAGGAGAGAGAAAATTAGGAGAAAAAAGGTTTACATCCTCCCCATTTCGATATCAGGCTCCCTCCTGCGCCCGGCGGAGGGAGCAGGGTTTCTCGACGACTTGTCCGTGTGAACCCGTGCTGGTTGTGGTCGAGCGGGTGAATCGTTTCGTGGTGGAGAAGTATTACGTCCTGAGCCTTCAATGGTTGGTTGTCCGTCATGAGTTGTATCAATCCGCGCAGGCTCGTGCAGAGGCAAACCTGAGTGCTTCAGATTCTCCTCTCCGCGTTCCTTCAGGAGCTTTTCGAGGAGAACAGCGTTTCGAGTGTTGCATTTATATATGGCGTCCGCAAGGTCGCCAATGAAAGGAATCAAGCCGACGAAGAAGTCGATAACAATGTTAAAGAGCATACGCATTCGAATGCCGCCGGGGAGACCACCTTCTATTTTGTTACAAGTGTTTACTACCATCAGGGCCATAAACATATCGAGCGCATCGCCGATTCTATTTAAAATAAGAAGAAAGTTAGTTAAATCCTACACGATTTGACAAAGGGAGGTTATTATTTAGAATGGAGAATTTTGTAGATTCACTTACGCTGGCACTAGACCAATGACGCTGCTCCATCCGAAGCGAATTCCGCAAAAATTGCACAGAGAGAGGTCCAATCTATATGCCCGCCGCTTCACCTTGGTCAATATCTTTGCATCGTGGGCTGATATGCCTTCCGGGGCGGCCTTGCGCTTCTTTTTGGTCGTCGGGCGTCCTAAGAGGTTCGTTGCAGGTACTGTCTCGAAGTATGGGTCCTGGTGCTCCGGAGGATGAAAAGTTAGCCAGCAATACCCCTATTTTCATGCACACCGGGTGTAAATAGTGCGCTTACCTCTTGTCCAAACCGATTTTCAGCAGACTCCTTCAATAGCTTCTTAGAGACGACACCTGCGATCTGTGCGGCCATCTCTGTGCCAACCGTGTGTTTACTCAAAGTGAATGGGCAATATTGGCATCAACTAGCATTGAATATGAAGATATGAGAGTGCTGCAAAATGGCGAGTTGAAGAACCAGGAAGCTATGAAGTCAGTAAAAGTGGGAAGAAATATATACAAAAGGAAACAGAACGAAGGAAGTATTTTGACTATAAATGAATAAAGGAATAAACAAAGGAACCAAAGGAAAAATGTTTGCTAGGACTGATTGTTGTTTTGGAGAATGAGGCGGCCAGTTAATGGACACACGCAGCGTCGCATCACTCCCTCGATGAAACAACCACGGACTTCTTTGACTGATTTCAGGTTATTTTTAACAACAAGAGGCCATCCTCAAACATCCTGCTGGCCAGTCATTGTGATATGGAAGGTCTTTTAACCGGAGACAAACTGGAGAGTTCCTAGCGCCGGTGCTTAGAACCCTGAAAAAGTTGACCATTGGAAGCTCCAAAAGATACGTTGAGCCCCTGTAATTTATGCCATACAACGACGTCACTGATTTTGGTGCGCAATATACATCCGTTACCAAAGTTTCAATATTTGGCAATGGGGGTTGTTGCTTGATGACTCAGCATCCAATTGCCACATGTGGTGGTGCAATACTGCTTTGCCACAGTATCCAGTAGCCAATCAGAATCTTTATTTTGATTCCCCAGCATGGACACCTTTCATCGGGAAGAGCCTCAGCCTGGTGATGGTGATTTGAGTCAACCTTGCGAACAACGTCAACTGCCACCTCATAAGTCCGCAATTCACTTTGGATCCTTTGTAGTTCAACCGCCGCTTTGCACGTATTCAATTTACCTCGACCACCTTCTGTTTCTTTCTTGGCTGTTAAAGCCATATCCAAGCACCTGAGGGGAATACATTCGTTACAGGGCCAGACTTGGTGTTGAGCAAAGACTGCGCAAGCTTCATTTTCTCTTGTATTGCCATGCGACAGTGCGGCAGAGATCATGGCAGAAACGAAAATGCGTCTGGAGGACTGTGAGTAGATTCTTTGCACGTTAACTCGTCCACTTTTTTAACTCGGCTTGTTATTTATCAGGGTTGGATGACTTGTGTGTCCGGTTCATTATAAACCTTCCACGAGAGGAGTTGGAGTCTGTTGAGCGCATTTGCTTTCAAGTTGAAGAGGCACAATGGTTCTACGAAGACTTTATTCGGCCTCTCGACCCGAATCTCCCCTCCCTAAGCTTGCGCGCCTTCGCCCTGCGTATCTTTCAGCATTGTCCGCTGATGTCGCAATGGTCTCATTATCATCACTCGACTGCGTTTTCTGAATTTTTAGCGTATAAAACTCGTGTTCCTGTGCGTGGTGCCATATTGCTTAACCAGGACATGGATGAAGTTGTTTTAGTCAAGGGCTGGAAGAAGAATGCAAATTGGAGTTTTCCCCGGGGTAAGATCAACAAGGATGAGAAGGACTTGGATTGTGCAATTCGAGAAGTCTACGAAGAGACTGGTTTTGATATCAAAGCCGCAGGACTTGTGAAGGATGAGAAGAAAATGAAGTATATTGAGATTCCTATGCGCGAACAAAACATGAGGTTATATGTCCTCAGAGGTGTCCCAAAGGACACTCTTTTTGAACCGAGGACAAGGAAGGAAATCAGCAAGATTGAGTGGTACAAGCTCTCAGAGCTACCAACGCTCAAAAAGAGCAAGCTAATTGAGACCAATGGCCACAACCTATCTAACAAGTTCTATATGGTCGCTCCCTTTTTGGGGCCATTGAAGAAATGGATCGCACAACAGAAGCGCGCCGATCTTGCTGCAACGCAAAACATGGACATCGGTGCACAGGAGGTATCCGGAGATGGCTTGTTGTTAGGGGAGAACGGAGGTTTTTCCGCCAATGAACCACTACCGAAGGAGAAAACGAACGAATCTCAGCTTCCTAGTGACTTGCCTGAAGTGTCTACGGTGGAGGACCCTTCGACGCACTTAAAGAGACTCCTCAATATCAACAGCGTA